CCCCTATCCTTATTGTCAATAACTTCGACCATCGAGTTATCATCTTATTAGAATCTCGTGGAGCTATAAAAGACCCCACATTATGATTCTTATTTTTTATATTTTCTAATAATATTGTCCCACGAATCAATTTCAGTCATCTATATTTTTTATTTTAAGTCGTACCAGTTTTATTATTTTTCTTGTTTAAATAAGATTATATTATAATTTTTAATTAGTAATAAATAATTATTTCATATAAAAAATTATTATAATAATTTATACTCTATTTGTTATTTAAAAATATATATTTTATTATGTAAGAGATAAACTCTCCACTTCTAACTGTAAAAAAAATATCTATTATATGACCCCAAAAATATATATATAATATAGCAAAAAAAAAATTGATAAAAAAGTTAAAATAAATATATATTTAAAAAAAAAAAAAAAGAACATAACTATTTTGTATTTATTGGGATATAAATTATTCCCTCTTGAAATCGGTGACCTTATCCGAATACAACGACTAAACCTAGCTGAAAGAATGTATAGGATCAACTTGTACCTTTTATCGATTCTGCCTTTTTCCTATTTTTTAAAAAATAACTTAATTTTTTTGCATGTATAGATATTGTTCGTAATTCTTGGCTATATAACCTATATAATTTAATTCTCTTACCATATTATAAAATATAATTATTATATTCAATACCCATTATTAAATTTTGAAGGTCAATTCCTCAAATATTAAGTAAATATTAAATCTATTGTGATATCTCAAAACTTAATCTAGTCATATTATTATTATTATATATATATATTTTTTTATATTTATAATTTAGTTCCGGGTCACGTTAGATTTATGAAAAACATATTATCGCCAACTTCACATTTCGTGAGTATGTAATAATTTAATTTGATCCACATATATTTGTAATAATATATATTTGATTGTATCTTATTATTATTTTACAATAAACGTAAGGAATATTATTATTTTAAAATTATTTTATAAATTTTTATAATTATTTTTATTGATCTAATGATTTGAACAATAATTTGTGAATTTTTTAATCAACTATATTATATTATATTATATTATATGACAAATATTAGAATATTATTATTTGTCTCTATTCACATATTTCGTGGCAACATAGCTAGTTAAATTTTGTTTTGATCTAAACGTGATAAACATGTCCATGATTGCAAAATCAATCTGATTCTGGCCATGTATATTAAATTTCATGTACGTATGTATATATATATATATATCATATATTATATATATTATTTACTTTTCATTGCGAATAAATTTATAGCCTATATTGAATAATTAATTCACATAAAAAGTTCACGTTACAATTTATTTTTTGAGTTCGAAGTTCTATTTAATAAATTATAAAATTAGTTGACCTTCGAGACATATTTTAAAAGATTATCACAATTTGAGACATTAAAATGTAAAATTAAAATCATAACACACACACACACATATATGTTTAGAAAATATAACGGTTTATAACTTAAAAAAAAATAAATTATAAATTGAATGCAGAAATAAAATAATAAAGTTATGGTCTACATTACTTACATAATAATTTAGAATACTAAATAGGGATACAGGAATGACTCTTCTAAAAGAACAAACGAAAAATCAAAAAAAAAATAAAAAGTAAACAATTAGGCATCCTATTCGCAACTCTCTTATGAATCGAAATCTGGATATTTGTCTTCTTGATCTGAAATAGTTAATAAAAGAGTGATATACACTACCCCAGTAAG